GTGTAATGACTGGTGCCGGCTTCTTGATTGGTTGGGAAGCTGGCCAATCAGGAAGCCAGGCAGCAAGTCATTACATGGCCCCCGGCTTCCTGATTGGGAGCATGGAGACGGCTCCCAGGCTAATCGGGAAGCCGGTCGGAGAGTCATTACACGCTGCCCGGCTTCCCTATTGGGACTTCGGTATTTGGTATCAGCGAGTACAGGAAAAGAAACGATATCGGTGCATCCCTAGCTGAAATCATACAATAATAGATCATTAATGAAGGGGACCTGGACGGGGTAAATGGACCTTGAATTTTACTTTAAAGGAGAACTATGGGGTTAGGGCTTTTCCCCATAGTTCTCCTTAGGGTAACGGGAGGACACAAACTAGCGTCCTCCCGTCACCTAAAGCTCAGTATATAGGGAGCTACTGCTCGCGGTATACTGAGACGCCGCAGCCGGAGCGGAAGCCGACATCGATGTCGAGATCCGCCCAGCTGCGTGAGTGACAGCTGGCTCTGCCTATCTAGAGGCAGAGCCAGCTTTACCTGCGCCCTCCCCCGTCCGTTCCGCCAGTCAGCGCTGGCAGAGCGGAGCGGGGAGAGGGGAATCCAGCCCCTCCCGTCACAGCAGAGAGCCGTGACAGGATCGAGAGGTGAGGGAACGCCGGTATGTGTTCGCTCACTTCCCGATCTACTGAGCCGACCTGTGACAGTCTCATTGTCACACGTCGGCTAGAACTATGAGGTGAGTGAAAAGCACCCCCCTCATAGTTCTCCTTTAAGGTCCGCTTTAACTGCAGCAGAAAAAAGGCAGGAGACCTGACTTTTTTCTCCTGCAGTTCAGAAACACTTACAGTTCTTGTCCCAGCCTGTGACTGGACAGTTGAAGGAGCAGCAGCAGACTGATGAACTCATCTCTCTGTCACTCTGCTCTCTCCTTCTATCCTCATGTCTCCTTGTACAGCACCACAGCTGATTGGCTCCGTGTGCTGCTTCTCTCTCTCCCAGTCTAAGCTCTGCTGTACAGGGACTACAAGAGACTGTACAAATGAATACAGAGCTGCATTAATATATGTCTTTTATATCCACCTGGAATTCGGCTCTAACTTATGAACATTTCCCTTGTTTAGGATCGGTGAGGATTTACGACTTCGCTGGAAAGGTCCCTTTAGCAGAGATGAATTTTAAACAAGGAGGAACGTCGCTGATCTGGGCCCCCCGCATGGTGAGTCGCCAGGCTCCGCCTCTCGCGCAGACATGTAACCCAAGCGGCGAAGCTGGCCATTTCCCCTGACTACGGGCAGCGCGTACTATATATCCCGCGTCTTGTCTTCCGCAGGTCAACCCTAAAGGAGGATTATTCGCAGCGGGATTCGAGGACGGAGTTGTCCGTATCTTGGAGGTTTATGACCCTTCCGGGATGAGACTTCTGGCCGGACGCAGCGGCACGCAGGAAGCTGCTATAAGTCTGAAACAAGCGTTCAAACCTCACAACGCGCCCGTCACATGTCTGGCGTATGAGCGCAATGGAGAGATCCTCGCCACTGGGGTGACGTTTCCTTTTTTTAGTCTTGTCTTCAAGCCGAACTCCAGAAAAAAACCCCCCAAAACCTTTCCATAGACTTGGGAAAGATAAACACTTCTTTTTAGTTTCCATTTTGTCCTTGACTCCGGTTAAGAATTTCAATCTACTTCCTGTCCCTGTGACAACAGGACTAGAAATGAGGGGAGTGGGGACTCCCACCATACAGTGGTCAGGATTATGTAACGTATGACCCTGCGTACAGAGGTCAGGAGTATGTCACATACAGGCCAGAGTAAAGAGTGCAGGGGTCAGGAGTATGTCACATACAGCCGAACATACAGAGTGCAGTGGTCAGGAGTATGTCACATACAGCCGAACATACAGAGTGCAGTGGTCAGGAGTATGTCACATGCAGCCCAGTGTGCAGGGGTCAGGAGTATGTCACATACAGCCAAACATACAGAGTGCAGTGGTCAGGAGTATGTCACATACAGCCAAACATACAGAGTGCAGTGGTCAGGAGTATGTCACATACAGCCCAGTGTGCAAGGGTCAGGAGTATGTCACATACAGCCGAACATACAGAGTGCAGTGGTCAGGAGTATGTCACATACAGCCCAACATACAGAGTGCAGTGGTCAGGAGTATGTCACATACAGCCCAACATACAGAGTGCAGTGGTCAGGAGTATGTCACATACAGCCCAGTGTGCAAGGGTCAGGAGTATGTCACATACAGCCCAACATACAGAGTGCAGTGGTCAGGAGTATGTCACATACAGCCAAACATACAGAGTGCAGTGGTCAGGAGTATGTCACATACAGCCCAACATACAGAGTGCAGTGGTCAGGAGTATGTCACATACAGCCCAGTGTGCAAGGGTCAGGAGTATGTCACATACAGCCCAACATACAGAGTGCAGTGGTCAGGAGTATGTCACATACAGCCCAACATACAGAGTGCAGTGGTCAGGAGTATGTCACATACAGCCCAACATACAGAGTGCAGTGGTCAGGAGTATGTCACATACAGCCCAGTGTGCAAGGGTCAGGAGTATGTCACATACAGCCGAACATACAGAGTGCAGGGGTCAGGAGTATGTCACATACAGCCCAACATACAGAGTGCAGTGGTCAGGAGTATGTCACATACAGCCCAACATACAGAGTGCAGTGGTCAGGAGTATGTCACATACAGCCCAACATACAGAGTGCAGTGGTCACAAATTACGACAGACACACTTCACTATCTTGCGGAAAGCCTTCCCAGAAGAGCGGAGACTGTTATTGCCACAAAAGGAGCGGGCATCTCCATATTAGTGGCCACGGGTTTGGAATGGGATATCCAACAACCTCATATAGGTGTGATGGTCAGGTGTTCACAAACTTTTGATCATGCAGTGTATCTTTTATTATGGTGAATGCAATGGGTGATGGGGAATCACCCCAAGGTGGTCATGAGGGGGGGGGG